GGCCATTGTTGTTAGGCACAAGTTAGAGATGTCTAAAAGCCAAAGGATAGTGTATTGTGCGAAAGGCCAAAGTGAAGCTTTTTGTCGTTCTGAGATATTGTGGTCTATTTTATTTTCAAGAATATCCGGACATTTTAGTTTCTTGATATTGAAAACTAGTAGAGGATGATGGTGCAAAGATGAATACCTGAACCGTTGGAAAGCTGAAAGGATGGAATGTTGAACGGATAGAAAGGATGAAAGTTAAAGAGATGGAAAGCTAGAAGGATAAAGAACTGGTGCCGATGATTTTTTGAGTCAAGTTGATCAGAATGATTAGTTTTAACTCCTGTTCTCTACCGTAGCTTTTCTGCCTGGCTCGTTTTCTACAAATTTTAGACTATGTTTGTTTCTAGAGATGCCAGAGTTAGGTTTTTAAACTTGCTGATGGGGAACTAGAGAAAAGTAGTTTTGCACTTTCAAAAGTAGAAATACGCTTATTTTAAACTATTTTCGAAAAATAAATACTTTTTCACACGAAAATGACTTCTGAACATATAAAAATCAGTTTTGACTAGATAGCTCGATGAGCTTTAACCAAACATACCAAGAAAACGATAAATGATGTTGTGGAAGTTGTGAATTCCGCGCATCCTGCCTGTTGAGGTGGTCAGCACTAGGTTCTTTTAGTCAAGGATCAGTGAATCGAAGATGAACGTTACTGGTATAGAAATTGACAATTGAGCTTTTAATTATCTGTAACTTGGACCAAACTATAGAGCTCACCATTTGTTCAATAAACGAAAATATGTTTTTTAAACGACGATGAAGCCGACTCAATACTTTACGTTTGAGTTTGATTTCAATTCTCAGCAATCACAGTCTTTGCTGAGTAGCAGCCTTACTAGAGAGTTCTTATTATTCGTTATTTCTAAACATAGAAATGAAGACGACGAGAAAAGAACAAATTTTCTATTTTAATTTAGATAGTCATTTATTAGATATCCAGTCTTAGCTGAGCAACAGCCTTACTAGAGAGTTCTTGTAATTCGCACATGCAATTAAAATTAGTTAAAAATTAAGAGATGACAAAATGTGCAACTATATTTCCTGGTAAATACCCATGGTGAGATCAAAGTTAACAAAAGTGTTCTTTGTTTTATTTGAAGAAAAAATCCAGTATTATTCGAGCTTCTCTCATCTCAGATCAGGGTGCAACACGAGTTTTTATTGTTAGCTCTCGGTTAAGATAGCTTAAGATCAACTTTATTTTTATTTATTTGCGATTAACTGGTGCCCAATGGGTCTATCAGTACAAATACAGAAAAAAAGAAACTGACATACATTGCAAAGTATGAATAAAACTTTAATAGAAAAAGAATAGACACAAATATCTCGATATCAGGACGTATATATTAAAGAGTAGAAGTAAAAGACTTTAAATAAATAAACATACATTTAAGAGGCAAACAACAATAAATCCCCGAAATATAAAGAAGAATATTACAAAAAGGATTCAGGAAAACAGTGCAGTAAATTAGTATCACAATCAGAATAGTGAGGAACAGAACTACAACAATTAGCGTTATACCACATTGAACATTTTTCAAAAACAGAAGTATGATTATGGAAACGCGTAGAACGGCGCAATCCCATGATCGATTTATTCCTCAGCAGTCAGTCATTTCGAATGATTATGAGTAAGAAAATATTTAGGAAAACGCACAAAGAAGACCATTGCCAATTAGGTTTTGGACTCGTTCTATATGAAATTTAAAACAACATTGACGATACTGTTTTGGATGAATAGTGACCACAACTAAAATTTTAGGTTTCAAAACTAACACTGACAGATATTTATTAGTTACGTTCATCAGAAAATAGTGCTTCGTGTGCTAAGTATCTTTTGACGAGCAAACAGTACCTTTCTTTCCCAGCAAATTTAATATGATAATAGTATAACTGATGGCATAACTGATGTAATACTGAACAGACCCACTATGACAACCGTGGCGAAAAATGCATCAATGGCAGCAGCCTTAGTAGAGAGTTCTTCGCACATGCAATTAAAATTAGTTAAAAGTTAAGAGATGACAAAATGTGCAACTATATTTCCTAGTAAATACCCATGGTGAGATCAAAGTTAATAAAAGTGTTCTTTGTTTTATTTGAAGAAAAAATCCAGTATTATTCGAGCTTCTCTCATCTCAGAACAGGGTGCAACACGAGTTTTTATTGTTAGCTCTCGGTTAAGACAGATTAAGATCAAGTTTTATACGTTTCCACTAGAAATTTTATGAGATAAAGAATCTTGATAAAATATAAGAGTAAACTGACGCTTTCCAATTTTTTTCCTGATGTATAAAATGTTCTATTTCAACCCTCTCGCATAGAGAGCAGTGTTAGATAAATATCTTATTTCTGAAGTCGTGGGATAAGCTAAGTGCTATACGTATGAGAGATAAACAAAAGTTTGAGAATTCTATCACTTTGCTTTTTCTATTGTTTGTAATTTTTCACTTTAATTCTACCGACTGAAAAACATAAAGAATATTAGTTGCTTAGCGAGAAAGAGATTTTAGGCAGTCATGTTTTGATTCTTTGATATTTCATTGGACATGTAAAACGGGACAAAATATGTACGCAGAAAAAGAAAGAGGAAAAAGTGGTTGTTAAGCGCATTCGTTTTATCCAATCATAATAGTTTGTAAGATTTAAAAGTAGTATTCATGTACCATTTGCTGGACTCTCCTACGGAGCGAGCAGATGAATATCTTAACTAACTTTTGAATATTAGGTAATGATTGTACGTTTGACTTGCTTGCTTATTCGATTAGCTAGAAAAAGAGAAGAAAATGGTTTTTTCGTTGATTAGGGAAAGTTTTCGACGATAGACTCATTATCTTCTGAATACAATTTAACGCGAAAGCTTTCCCGAATATTATCTTGCATTTTAATCGAATGTTGCTGATAATGAGGCTATCGTTCAGAGCGTTGCATACCATTCAAACCGATAGAGAATAGAAAGAAGAGAGTTAGAAAAATATCATATAATACATAATTAGATTATCATTATCCTCAGAACATGTAATACATTGAGATAATCATTGAATTAACACATAGACTGTTTTGACATAAGCAGAAGAGACCCGATAGGGGGAGGATCCTTCCTCTGCTAGGATTCTATCATTTGAATCCTACATCAGCTCACACTAGAAAACCTATCAAATGCTGTGAGTTTCTCTATAGGATTACCTAGGATTTTGCCCTAATTATATTGAGAGAATTCGTATTTACTAGTAACAACTCATTAAACGTTTTTCAACAATACAGTCTCTGTTGCGGTCAATCAAGAAATTCGTCTAATTGACCACTGACTATTGGATGATGAGCCATGTAAGTAACTGTACGGAAAGTTCCTTCACTAGGTTAAAGCACAGCAGCCTTGGCTTGGAGCATATCAAGAAACCTATGAAAAACATATCTTTTAAATTTTTGTAAGGGCTTTGAAATGTTTTCCGAGGGCAAAACTTCGCTTACGGGAAAACATTGCATTTGTTGAGTTCTTCACCCTCTTGACTGAAAGTCGCTTTTCTTCCCGCTTATCGCACTCCTTCTGTTTGCTCCGTTTCCCTCTTACCCAATTTTCTGCATTTAGAAACTTTTTTAATTTCTTGTGTGCTTTTGCGCTTTTATACACTTTTTGTTTTTTGCATATTCTTTTTCCAAAGGGTCATCATCCACGTCCAGCGTGGTTTCCTCTGTATAGTGACATGCTGTGGCATCTTTGACAGATTTGATCGTTTCAAATAAACCACCTACCACTTCGCACTCTATTCGAGACGTTGGAGATGACGAGGCCAAACCCAGATTGTTACGGACTAAATCGCACAAGCGATTGATTATATTCGAAACGTTCATCCGTGAGGCTGTCTTTAACGAAGGAAAAGAGAGGACAGGAGAAAAAAGAGAAAACAAAGAACTGACTACGTGGCAGAAGAGGAAGGAAGAAAGCAGCTGCGTACATGGTCAGGGGAGGAGGAGAGAAGGAAGGAGAAGAAGCTCGTATGCATAAAATGCATAATATTCCCACAAAGATGAAAAACCGACAACTGACTTGCATACAAAACAACAAAAAGAGAAGAGAGAGAGAGAGAGGTGTGCAGAGTATTGTGAAGCGGGATTGCATAGCTGTGTCTGGTCCCACCTCGCGTTAAGAATGAATGTGGGGAGAGAAGGAAAGATGGAAGGTCCCCTCCTAACAATCATGATGACTCCAGTTAAAAGACGTAAAGAACGTAAAGCAGAAACACCTTTGAATAAGAACCTAGTCCCTCCAGAGTTTAAGGCAAACGTTCTGCGAAAGTAAAACTGATAGCTTTTGGTTATTCCTTTCTAGTACCTACTGGTTATACTCGGAATCTCTGTGGTCGTTTACCCAATTATCATTTATTTTTTATTGAAAGGTAACAAAAGACAAGAAAAGTAATTTTGCCTTTACAGAATCTTAGTTTTGCCCTTGAAAAACATTTCAAAGCCCTTACAAAAATTTAAAAAATATGTTTTTCATAGGTTTCTTGATATGCTCTACAATCTGGACAGATCAGAAAATTTTTTGGAAAAAAAAAGTTTTTGACCTAGAAAACTGGTTTTTCAAAAACCGGGTCTCTGGAGGCCTAGCAGCCCAAATGCTTGTCATAGTCGGATTCAGCATGTTTGATTACCTATTGTCCATTAGCTTAGAGCTCAAAAGCGAGTTGACAGTTGGGGACCTTTCCTCGTGAGTCATGTGCAGTGGTTTAATCTGAAAGATTTTCCTTGAACTTGCTTTCCGTTTCGCTTTTCATTATTTGTAGTAGTTGTCGAAATTTCAAACAATTGAAAATGGCCACAACAACAATATCGTCGTTACAAGTTGCTGCTGATTCATTGAATGCTGTCGGAACACAGTTTTACCGTTATTATCTAATACCATTTTTTATTCTGGGTGTTGTTGGAAATACACTCAATGTATATGTCTTTACACGTCCTTCACTGAGATCGAATCCATGCTCGATCTACTTTCTGGCCTCGACGTGCGCATGTTTTATTGTCGTGTATGTGATTATTCCGTCGCGACTATTACAATTTGGTTACAATATAGATCCATCTTTATACAACCTCACAATCTGTAAAGGAGAATATTTTATTACATATTCATCAAGGTAGGTCAAGAAATCCAAGTTTCACACTTTCTCCGCATAAACTGGGTTCCTGTATTTATCACAGGGCTTTAGCATCATGGTTTGTCGTACTAGCCTGTGTGGATCGTTATTTATGCAGTTCTCCTCATGCGAGAGTTCGACGATTCAGCAGTCTAAAGGTTGCTTATCGTGCCGTATCAATCACAGCTATCATCATCTGGCTGTCCTACATACATGTCCCCATCTATTTCACCATTCAAGATACATTGGATAAATACAGTAATCCATCACCAGCATGCATCGGCCAAAAGGGTTTATACACAACATTTCTAGCATTCTATTATTTAACGATGTATTCTCTTTGTCCACCATTTCTGATGTTGATATTTGGCTTGCTAACATTGAACAATATTCGACAGCGCGGCAAACAAGTAGCACCAGTCTCAGATTCAACAACGACAGCAACAGTGGATGCAAGACGTAAAAGAAAAACAGATCAGCAACTCTTAGTAATGCTCGTAGTCCAATGTATTGTTATTGCTCTGTCAACAACACCATTAGCAATGCAAAAATTATATGCAGTATTTACCGCCAGTTGGTATAAAGATCCATTTAAAGTGGCACAAGATAATTTCTTTTTCACAGTTGTTGCCTGCCAATCAATTGTTGGTCATGTATTGAGTTTTTATTTGTTTACGCTTTCGGGTACAATATTTCGTAGAGAAGTAATGAAATTATTTTGTAAAATATTTAAAATTTGTGGCTGTTATAATCCTAATGTGCAACGAGATGGGACACACACACAAGACATATCAAAAACAAAAAACTTTTGGTCTGCTCGAAGCAATATGCAGCTGACAAGAAATCGTGTTACATCGAGAGAATAACTGACTTAATATAAAAGTATTTCGTGCAACAGAAACAAAAGACAACAGCGACTATTGAACTTCAATCATGTCCTTACACAAACTCTACTTAGTACTACACCGTATACGATTTACTGCTGTGTTTCGACATTCTTATTCGTAAGCGTACCCTTTTCAACTTTCAGAAACTGAACATAAATAACTTTTCGATAAATTCTCTTTTGAAGTGAGGATAACAGCGATGCAAAGTGTACTATTTTGTACTCAAAGAGAAACTGGACTCTCCGTCAATCGTCGTCACAGAACACGGTTTTAGTATATTCTTGTTCTAAATTCCACTATATATTATTCACTTATTCACCGTATATTGTCATGATATAACTTATTTAGGTGGCTTCCGAGCTTGTCGACTGTTGGTCCTGAAAAAGCTTTGTGTAACGGTATGATATACGATATTGCTGTTTCATATTCCATGACGATTCATTTTGGCGAAAATAGCTTTTATATGCAAAGTGCATGTTTTTGCCTGAGACAAGACACGTTTACACTTTGCTGTAAGAAAATATAGTTATTGAATATGTGATGTTCTTGCATTATTCTGCGTCTCCATTACTCTTGCTTACACGTAATAAAAATTTTATTTGTAGTGCGAAGTTTGTTAAATTTCGCTGAACAGAATCAGAAAGTAAATGCATGTAAGTGATGTTAGGAGTTGTAGGGCAGAAGCACAACGGACGAAAAACAGTTTTTCTGCCAGGAAAAATTTCAGAACCTTGGATAGGATTGGACAAGGTTTGACATACGGCGTCAGTTTTCTGCATCACTTCTGTGAACATCTGTATCAACAGTTTATCGATCATCTACGTTCCGGAAATAGTCTTTTGTTAGAGTTACAGATATGCGAGACATAATTTCTAGTGCTGTAATTGCGTTTACATCGTTTGTAATAAAGCCAAGATGGACACCAACACATTTGTACTGCGCCTGTTGCTGTGGGCAATGAAGCCCGTAACGTTGATCTTAAGCAAGGTTTAAAAACCTCTGCGTAACACAGTGATCTTGGTTATGAAAAGGTAACAAGAAAATCTCATCTGACTGTAGGACACAACTACGATCAACAACTATCTCGACTTTCGATAATGAGCACAGGAAAACGTAAAGGAATCGTGACGATCACGACCTGAGAGAATGACTGAGCGGAGGTCGAGCATGTTGTGATAAGAGTGCCATGACGATGAAACGCTTCAGAAAGCAGATTTTTCTATGATTTCTTTTCATGTGGTCAATGGGCCAGCAATCATCAGATATCGTGGTATTGAGGCACCTTCGCCCACATTCTTTTCCATACCTTTTCATATTCACATAAACTATTCACCTTGTTAGTGTATTATTAAAAGCGCAATAAAATTCGTGAATTCACAACCACCAGAAACTTTACTATCATCTTTTACTATAGCGAAATACTTCTGTTCAACATGTGTTCTTTCATACTCCATCGGATATGAAATCGTCAATTTCCTTTCTCTGTTCACATTAATTCAGTCAATTAAAAGACCATTTGATTCGATGTGAATACCGAACACCATTCCTCATACCGGATGACAACTTACTTACACGCTAATTATATCTGATTATATCTCACCTCATTTCTATTCATGTCGAAATTGCTAATTCTATCATCATTTATCTCATAATTATTGTGTTTCTATCATTGTCAAATACGTTTCGTCGTTCTGAACTAGCAGTGTCTTAATAAACCATGTTAATAACAGTGCGTACTTGGATAAGCAAAAGTGACTCGATCCGGAATAAGAAGAGGAAATTGTGTACTTCTAAGAAAATGTCATAAAACAAGTAGTTGGATGCAGCACTGCAATAAGTGAAAGAATGCGCTGATTGACTATTCATCGCCTTGTGCTACTTTAATTCTTGTTGTTAGCAGACTGTTGATGTTGCTGTTGACAACTGAAGAAGCAACTCAGCGATCAACTAACGAATTTAAATACCAGATTTCCACTGTCATTACCACAGAATAGCACACGAGCGTTTATAGGTAAGAGCTCCCATTCTTTTAATGTGTGGGTGAGAAAAGAATCATGCTTGTCTGTCGCTTCAAAGATTTCTCGATCGTTACTACGTAAATGATAATGGCTATTTATAGGACGCCGGCATAGAACTTCAGCTAAATATGAAGGAGCCATACCGCGCATTATTTTACTCAAGATATTTGAAAATATTCTCTCAACATTGGCTATTCTAAGATTTGTTGATGAATCCTTCATTGCAACATTAACTGTGGAGCGGCTGACGAGGGAACCGCCTGAGGTGCTAAAAATCTTTTTGAGTGGCACTATTTTTAAAATGTAGATCCTCATGGACTATGAAAAATCCCAACTTGGTTCGTGCGCAATCAGCTTTGTTGCTGAGATATCGAATTTTTACTCGAATTTTCCCCATAGGACCTGGATTTCAAGCAAAATTGG